AATGGAGTCAGATGTTGATTTCGCTTTATATGGGCTTCATGGATATTTAAGCCCTTGTGGGGGAGGTACCAGAAGGAGAGGACCGATATATTCCATCTTAACAACAGATCTTGTGTTAGCAAATATGTTTGTATGTGTGAAATATAAAGAGAACCTGACGCTTGTTTCGGATTTTATAAACGTTTTGGTTATTCAAACCGTTGACCCTTTGTGGGGGAGGTACCAAAAGGAAATGATCTTCACCTCCTTTATTACAGATGATGTGTTGGTAGAAATATTCAGATGTGTCAATTCTAAGTGGAAAAAACCGTTCGATATCTCATTCTTAGACAACAAAATCTCATGGTTTAAGCTCTATTCCTTCACCCAATATCAAATTAATTTCAATTTAGTACTTTTCGACGCATTTCCACCTCCAAATCGCAACTTCAGATACAAACATTTATCTAAATATCAAATTTCAGGATTTCAGCTTCATTCCTTCACCCAATTAGTACTTTTCGTACAAATGGGGCACATTTCCAAATCACCACCGAATCTCAAACACAGATAATTAATTTAAATATCAAATTTCAGAATTTTATGTCTATCACTCCACCCAATACCAAATGTAGTATCGTTCGGACATTTATTGTACACAGTGGCAAATTTCAGGATTTCAGCCCTCTAATTCCTCCATTACCTAATTCACTGTCATTTAGTACAATTATAGTATACATATCCTAAACCTTCTCTATATCTAAACCACCGAAACCAACAGTGACATCTACATCAAATATCAGGATTTCAACTCTATTCCTTCACCCAATATCAAAGTAAGTACTATTTCATTCTTTTCTTTTTCTGAATGGTATTATATCGTACAATTATAGTATCCACCTGCATATATCCAGTTTCAGATTTCAAGCACTATCTGTTCACTCAATAAAAATTGTACCAAATATAGTACTACTTAGTACTTTTCGTGCACTTGTAGTACCTATTTTCGAAACCAACTTTCTATCCTAAATCTTCAACAAACAGGGATCATAAAGATAATTTCCGTTCACTCTAAACCAAACTGTTTCAAATTTAGTACCATTTAGTACATGTCGCATAATTAATACACATTTCCAAGGCCATATTCATATTTCAAACTTACTTTCCAAACTTGATTTCTAGCTCAATTTTCAAGTTTCTATCTCTCTCAGTTCACATAATACAAAATAATAACATCTTCGAAGTTTAATACCATTTTAGAACTTTTCGTAACCGTATACCTCATTTTAACACTCTAGCTCATTCCGTTTGTCCAATACAATGTATTGAATTTTTAGTACTTTACGTACCCTTTCCGTACCCTTTCATAAATCATACGACAAAGCATCAAGACTGACCCTCGTGTAAAATTTTAAGGTTTTAGCTTCAGTCTGGCCATTAATTCTCAGTCTATTTAGTTATTTCACTATTCTCTTATTTACATAAAGGTAAAGGAACGGTTAATAAAATCAGTCGACAGATTTAGAAGAAATGCTGACGAATTTATATTTTTCTGGGTAAAAAGTTTTTGTCATTGGAGTTGTTTTAAAATAACTCCTAACGAGGGTTAGAGTTTCTTTCCGCCTTACCCTTGGTCTGGGTTGGGTATATTGCACTAAATTTTTAGAGCACTAAAAATTAAATAATTAGTGGTAGTTCTATTAAAATTTCAATACCACTAGAGAAAAATTAAATTACACAAAAAATAAAATCCATTAAAAATTCTTTTAAAATCTTTAAAATACCTAATATAGGAAGGTGCCGATATATGGGGGATGTACGATATTGTGGACCTATAAAGACAAATCTATGTCTGGGTGTAAAGTACTCACAAGAAACTCCTTGTGTGGATTCTCATACAATTCCATTGGAAAAAGTGGCCTTAATCATCAAAATACCGAATATCGGGGGGTACCGTTATACGGGAGATATACGATATTATGGACCTATATAGGCAATTCCTATTCAGGGAGTAAAGTGCTCACAAAGAACTCCTCATGTGGAATTTCAGACAATACGATTGGAAAATGTGGCTAAAATCAGAAAATACCGAATATCGGGGGGCACCGTTATATGGGTGCTATACGATATCGTGGACCGATATAACCCATCTTCGAACTTGACCTGCTTGCAGACAAAAAAAAGATCTGTGCAAAATTTTAGCTTTCTATCTTAATTCGTTTAGACTGTAGCGTGATTACAACAGACGGACAGACGGACGGACAGGGCTAAATCGTCTTATAATTCTACGCTGATCAGAAATAAATATACATTGTTGGGTCAAAAATGATTATGAGTTACAAACGGAATGACGAACTTAATATACTATGTATTGTGGAGGGTATAAAAAAACAGATCAACCACTAAAATTTGGTGGTAGTGAAATTTTAGTAGCACAAATAAATGAAAAATATTGTTATAAAAATAGCGGTAATGGGATTAAGCCTGACTATTTTGCAACAGCAAAATAATCTCCTACTTTTGTGAATTTAGATATCTTGGCCCAATTCAGGTCAATGCCGATCCTCCTTAAACGTATTCATTGTACTTCCACTTAAGCCTCTTATTCTTAAACATGAGATCGAGTCTTTGCAATACGATTTTGATTAAAAAAAAACGGTGTTTTATTCTCTTAATTGGTTTGGATATAAGATCTAGCCTCCTTCAGAAACACAACCAAAACTGCCACCTCAATCCACAAGAGGATGGGGGTCAAATGCGGAAGTGGGATGTATATGTTCACTCCATCTGTTACCGCCCTCACAAAGTTCAACGTTTAGTAATTCATAATAATTTCTAAAAGACAACAAACTGTTTGTGGCCAATAAATAGTTTTCCCAAATAGATTGGACATTGGAGAATTACATGAAACACTATTTAATTAAATTTGGGGTATTTTTGCATAACAACCATAACTAAAATTATATCTGCCTGTTTTCTTTATTGCTGCCAGTAAATATTTGCACTATGGATAAAATAATGGGGTTTCCCGTTATTTGCATGTAATGATAGATTTTTTAATAATCTTAATCTTTATGGTATAGCCTTGATGATAGGTCATTAATTAGTTAGTTGGGGGTGTGCCAAAGATAGCGCGTTCATCAGGTGTCTGGAAAACATTTTTTCGGCAACAATATATAAATAATAGTTGCTTTCCCATTCATGAACTTTGGAGTATTGGGAAGGCGTCACATCTTCTGAAGAAACTAAAATGATTATAGCGATTACAAATGATTTGATCAAGCTGTTAGCTTCTGACAATAGATGTATTTGGCGTCAGTTTTTTTTTTTTTTTTTTTTTGAAAATCGAGTGCCGCCTCGGCATGAGTGCCGTCATGATGAAACCAAATGTTGCCAACATCCTCTGAATTTGTATACCCTACAATACCATGTGTTGGGGGTATTGTAAGTTTGATTGAACCAAAAAGTTTGTAACACCTCGAAATATTGGTCCTGGACGTAGGATAGAATCTCCCGATCTCGTGCGGAGTCGACCTAGCTATGTGTGTTCGTCCGACTGTCCGTGTTAATTTTTCTCATGAAATGGTGATAGGGTTAGGATTAAGATAGAAACCTATTGTTTTTGGAGGTGATCGCAAAAAATAGGGGGTTGGACCAAAATTTGAAAAAAAAAATCCTGAATTTCTGAGATATATTTGATATTTTTCTCCGAGTATCGTTGTTATGGAGTGCAAATTAAGGCTGTGGAGGAAATAAATAAATTGGATGAAGAATATATATGGGAGCTATAGCTTTACCTGAACCGATTTCGACCAAATTTGACACACTTGTTTCTAGACTCAATTCAATGGTAACACGTGCAAAATGGATAGACAGACGGACGTGGATAGACAGACGGACGGACAAGCATAAATCGACTCATACTGTGATTCTATGCAGATCATCAAAAGGAACTATGGGTATAACTCGCTTCCTTCTCTATGTTACAAACAAATGCACAAAGACATAATATCCTGACCACAGGTATAAACATTAAGTTCAGCCAGGCCTAACTTGAAATAACCTTCACCATTAGCTATAACGCTTTAAACTAGAAATACAATATAGTGGGTGGAATAATTATAGGTGGCCATACCAAAACGGGAACGCATATAGATAATGTTATAATACAAAGAGTTTTATCTATTGTGAGTCTAAAATGCCAAATTTGAACAATTCAATGGGTAAATGTGACTAGGATTATCAAAAAATATATGGAAACAGAATTTGAAACGTATCCGATAGAAAAATTCGATTAAAATGTCAAAATACGAAATAGTCGTAGGTATCATATGTAGGAAAATGTGGACCTACACATACGATGTTCTGCCACCGGAGCTAGAACCCAGTGCGAACCACAAATATCACTACTGTGTCAACTACTAAATTGCCGAATATCAGGAAGTATTGTTTTATAGGTGTTGTACCAAAAAGTTTAACATTATATATCATTTTCATACCAACCATCCAAGACAATACAAACTATTGTGCTAAATTTTAAAGATCTATGTCAAATAATGTGGGTTGTATCGTAATAGTGTAAGTGGACTAAATTTGCCATGTTCCGGCTTGTCTCATGGCCAGCACTAAATGTCATGTTCACGCAAGGTTATACCGATCGATTTTCTTTGTTTACGCTCCTGAAGGAAAAAAACAAGCGAAAAAGCAGTAAGTTCGAACAAATTAGGAAATTTTCAACAAAAAATAATCTATTAAAATCTTAAGAATGCAGAATATAAGAAAAAGTGGATGTGTGGATGCAAATACGAAATTTGAAACAATATTAATGTAAGGAATCCTCTTTATATATTTGCAACTATTATATAACAATAAATATGCGAATGCGAATTTATCCACTTAAATATGCAAACTATCTATGGAAATTTATCAATTATCCCTTAATGGATTTCCAAGTAATAACCATCGTTAACTTTATAAATAGATGAGTTCAACTCATTTATAAAATTCCAAGGAAGGAATAATCAACGACAGTCGGCAATTGCTAAGCTACAAATCACCATTGAATCATATCATCAGCAAAACGAAACGCAATGTATTACAATCATCCTTTGTTCAGTTTCAACGTTAAAATGTGGAAATATTTGGGTTTCATAGAGTTTAAGAGAATCAATCAGGCTCTGCTCATACTCATCATTCCGTGTCTGATTAATATGTGTCAGGTTATGAATATTGCCTACAATTGGAACGACATGAGCGTAATTGCCATTGGCCTATTCATGACTGCTATTTTGTTTAATGCTCTGGTGCGTATTACAACCGTGATGAGGAATCAATCGAAATTTATAGAATTTTTTGAAATGATTGAACAATGGTATCGAGAAATTGAGGTAATTCAATGATTTAAAAAAAATGGAGCTTGAAAATAGAATCAATCAAAATATGATTTATTTTAAAATTTCATAAGATGGGACCGGATGACGGAGCATGGGATTTATTGAAACATATACCGCGAAGAACGCGTCTTATTTCTATTTTAAGTTTTTCATTTGCTGCCGGGGCAGCTGTGGCTTCAGCAACAATTCCACTGTTTTTGGAGCAACGAAGTAAGTGATCTAATTATATTATTATTTGTTTCTATTTATATCCTACACCACTTAGTGGTAAGGGTATTACGTCTTTGTGGTTTTGTTTGTAACATGGAACCCATAGTTACTTTTGAGGATCTTCATAGAATCACTTTCGAAGTCGATTTATGCGTGTGAACAAAATGCAGTCCTTCACATGCGCAATATGCACTCCATAACAATTATATTTGATACCGGTCATTAGATACTGCTCGAAAATACCTGTGTCAAATTTTATCGAGTTCGGTTCTGATTTTATACAGCTTCGATATATATCTTCATTCGATACGGTTACGGTTATTGTTCACCATATATGTAATATTAGCCAAAATTGAATAGATTTTTTCATATTCAACCGAATTTTTCCATTTGGTGAAACTCGGTCCAGTATATCTATAGCTCCAATAAATATTTTTTTTTATAGAATTCTTATCGAAGTCATATCATGCACTTAGGTACTAGAGGTACAAAAACCTTCGTGAAATTTGTTGAAAATCGATTCAGAGTTGGATATGGTTCCCAAATTGTGACTACTCAAAAGACATGTACGTTTTCAAATAAGGTTCATAGTTGGTATGATCTATTTCGCATAAATATATTTTTTTGTTACGGGAGCTCTACTAAACACGCATAGTGGTGTGGGGTATTATATAGGCTGCCCCACACGACTTTTGACCTTTCCTTACAGATTTTTTATTATTTGTTCACCATTTCAGGTTTACCATACGATATGTACATCCCGTTTTATGACCACCTAAAAAGCCCAATGTACGAAATCCTCTATTTTATGCAGGGTTTCATCTCGATGCCCTTTTGTGTGCTGACTTATGTTCCCTTTACAAATCTCTTCATTGCCTGGCTAACATTTGGAATAAGTCTGCTGCAGATTCTACGTTACAAATTAGAGTCATTGCCACATGAAAATGATGAGGAAATGTTGAAACAATTAATTGAATTGATACGATTTCATCATCGAATTATGAAGTAAGAGGTGAAACTTCGATGGGAAAATATTTTTTATTTTTTTCTTTCTTTTTTCAGTTTTGGCCAGACATTGGAAAGTTTGGTGTCATTTGTATGCCTCGTGGAATTGGTATTATTCACCCTAATGTTGTGCGTTCTCCTGGCCAGTTTTCTAGTGGTAATTGGAACATGAATCACCTCCAGTGATTCAGCAATCAATCATAATTTGATAATGCATATCTTGAAATTTATTTTTCAGATGGACAATGTCATGTCGAAAATAGCAACATGCATTTACATATTTTGTATTCTCTATGCCCTGTTCATTCCCTACTGGCATGCCAATGAATTTTCATGGGAAGTAAGTAGAATTATTTTTGAGGAAAACAGATAATTTTAGGTGCAAACAATTTTTAATCGAAGCGAAGGAGCCAAATTTTTAATTGATCTTTTTATTTTTATATTTTGCCTGTGACTGTCCTGCAGAAAATTTGTTATCAATTTTCAAAATCCTTTTGTAATCACTGGCTTTCGAAGGTCATTTTTTGCGTATTGTGAGAGTAATTCGTCACACTTCCAACGGCATTATCATTGATTTGATATTTCGAGTTCTTAGTAGCTAATTATCAATTTCCGGTGCATGTAATTGTGGAGGGTACAGTTTTTTCATTCATAAGGTATGTACACATTTGGGTTTTTTTGTTTGAAGATAGGTTCAGCTCGATAATGGGCTATATAATTATGAACTACGAATGCCATAGTACCAATTTTGAAGCAAGTCCGTTGAAAAATGTGTCTAATATAATAGGAAGGCTATAAGGAAACATGTTCTATAACAATCATTGTAGACTCAATGCAAACTATTATGCCAATGTCATTTTAGATTCGACTTAAAATTTTATGCAGATCACACCGAATATAAGAAGGTCTTACAGACAGGTTTTCATTCCACCTGATTAAACTCTCCTTTCTATACTATATTTATACATTGTAAATGTTGCATTTTTATATCCGCTACACAAAATATATTAGAAATTTGGTAAAATCATAGCTCTGATTTGCTAGATCGTACTCGAAAGTAAAAGAGTTTTAAAAAAAAAGTTACTCTCCTCTCTATTGTGTTATGTGGGAGAAGTCGTACTCCATTTTGTTTACAAAAAAAAAACAAGATGATTCTTGGTACTGATAAGTATTCATAGAAGAAACTATTTAAGATATTTTGGAAGGTTAAGCCACTTACACTTAATTTGAGGTATGTCCTAACTTAAATTCATTTTTCTCAATTATTGCCTTCTTCAGTCAATAATCAGTCAGTGAAATTCAAAAGTTGGTGAATAGAATCTGAAATTTATAAGATTAAATGCATGCAGGTGAGTACATGGAAACAAACTAAGGAAATATCTGGTAGAAGGCTAGGAGTACCCCCTTTAAGCCAATATTTTGACAAAATTAGGATACGGATAGTGTATCCTCTGTAATTTGTATCATGACCGAGTTTATAACAAAACAAGTTTTGCCGACAATGTTTTATTATTTAAATGTATATTGACCTTCTATGGAGTAGGTTCCGTAGGAATGGGTCAATATTGCCCATTTCGTATCGGACCTAAATAAGTACGATAGAAATATTGCAACATGCTAGGTTAGGACTATATTGGTTACTTCCTTTATCCCGATATAGTCGGAGAAATTCTATTATTTATATCCAATTTTATGCGAAATCATAAATTCCATATTCATCTCAGGTTTCTGGTTGGCTGACTTGTTTTGCAAGTTATGACAGATAAATGTATCGAAAAATGTAACCCTTTGTTGGTAAGGTACCGAAGGAATTCGCAGATGTATATCATCTTCACAACAGATCTTTTGTTAGCAACAATGTTTGTATGTGTGTGGAATTTGAGGAGAGTTGGATGGTTATTTCTCTTTTTGGAGCGTTTTGATTTTTTCAAAGTCGTGAACCCTATGTGGGGTAGGTGCCAGAAGAAATGCTCCGATCTTCACCATCTTTATTACAGATCTTGCGTTGATAGAAATATTCGATATTGATTTCACATTTTATGACCTTCATTGATATTCTAAATTTTGACCCTTTGTGGGGGATGAACCAAAAGGAGTGAACCGACACATTTCATCTTCACGCCCGACCTTGGGAAAAAGCTGAGGAAATTTCTGGGCGAAGTCTATGAGTGACCTCTTTCAGCTCATATATATTCGACACAATTGGAATCCGTATAGTATAATCCTGTTATTTGTATTGTGCCAGAATTGATGACAAAAACCTCCATTTCCGAATAGTCGTTTTCCTAACCAATTTTTGTTGAAACAATTTTCGTTTACTCTCCACTCTTTTGTTTTGTGTGGAGTGCTATCGAGAAGAGAGTGAAACTCAGTGGTCTGACTAGAATTGGGGTTAAGAAGAAGAGTTCACACACCAGTCCAATTTGTCTTAGTTTATTTGAACTTTTTTTTTTGTTTTACGGATTTGTCCAAAAATTTGCATTTGTTGTTCGTAATGCGTTCCAGCTCCGGTGGCGGAACCTATATTCGGGTTTTGGCGGTTTTAGCCACATCTTTCCCCATATTTGTCTAAAAATTTGTAGTTGTAATTCATATTGCGTTCTACCTCCAGAGACAGAACATTGAATATCTAGGTCCGCGTTTTCGTATATTTCGTATATCCCCATATAACGGTGCCTCCCGATATTCGGTATTTTAATGGTTTTAGTCACATTTTTTATGAATTTGTCCAAAAATTTGTATTTGTAGTTCGTAATGGGTTCTAGCTTTATCCACGTTTTCGTATAGCCCCTACATAACTGTACATCCCAATATTCAGTATTTTAATGATTGTTGCCATATTTTTCCACGAATTTGTGTAAGAAATGGTTTTTGTAGTTTATAATAGGTTCTAGGATGGCAGATCATTGTATATATATAGGTCCACGTTTTCGTATAGCCCCTATTTAAAGATAACTCACACATTTTTTACGGATTTGTTTAAAATGGGTTATAGCTTCGGTCGCAAACCACGAATTTGTTTCAAAATTGGTATTTATGACTCGCAATAGATAACAATCCATATAGGTTTCGGTTTTGGCATGATCCCCATATAACGGACTCACCCGCTTTTTGTTTTTCTAATTTTAAATGCATTATCTAAACGGCCTTATTGGTAATTGTAGTTTAAAGTGGAACACGTTTCAATTCAGATACTTTTATATACATATATTTTCTTTACCCAATTGGAGGGTATTAAAAGTTCGGCCCAGAACTTAATTTTCTTTACCTTTTTTTGCCTTATTTCTAATTTTGGACATGTTAAAAAAATATAATTTGTTTTCTTTCAAATGACCAAGCAGGGCTGGACTGGAATATGTTGTTAATAAAGCAAATTATTATAAGTTATAAATGCATTACATTATTATTATTATTATATTATATAAGTTTTAATTAGTTTGTGGTTTAACAACAATAAAGAAAAATTAGATTGGTGCGATAGATCACGTTGTTGATCAGCTATGTCTTACATTATCGACATTTACTAATTAGTCGGATACACTTGGATATGAGGAAAATAAGTTATTTTATGTTGTAATAGAATTAGCTCATTACTTTCAACCAATTTTTAATGCAAAAAGTAGTCACCTCGTCGGCTCATGGTTTTATTCTTAATTTTATCACTGAATTCTTAAAGGTCGTACTTGGAATATAATATAAAGATTTGTATTTTAATCAAGAAAAAACTATTATTTTTCGTTCATTTAATTTAAATTTTCCTTAAGATAAATTCATAGTTTTTTAAAATTGACATATATTTCACATTTCAGAGCACAAAAATTGCCGATGCTGCCTATAATATAAAATGGACGAGATCCAATATTAAGATACGAAAATGTATTGCAATGCTAATATTGCGCAGCCAAACTCCGCTAAAGGTAGGATTTGTTGTTATTTTAATTCTATATTTTTTTAATGTAAATTGCTTTTCAGATAAAGGCTGGTGGAATATTTCCTATGACTTTGGAGGCATTTCAAGCTTTGTTGAATACCACATATACGTATTTTACCATGTTTAAGGGAATGATGGGCAAAGAGCCCAACGTGCATGATAGGGGCCAGTAAATTATGGTTATGTTATTAGCTCAGCACGTTTTTGTAGTTCAATTATTAATAGTTTTTGCACTGGTCACCGATGAAAATATATGAAAAGTTCAATGATTATAAGTAAAAATTATGGTTGACAATTCTATAAACAAACATGTTAACAACTTGTTTGATGGCCTACTATCGCGCTATTTGCTTAAAATAAACGGTATTTTCATCCAAGTAATGGCCATGTGTCCTATGTTAAGAATTTGCTTAGAGTACAATTCACGCTTATTAATTGAAAATTGAGGAATTTAATTGGAAATTTTAGAGTTCGTAATGAGAACGACAGTCCATGCCAAAAAAAATTGTCTATGCAGGCACAGATCTTCGTATAGGCCACATATATCAGTACCTTCCTATATTCGTTATTTTGACGATTTTAGGTACAATATTTACCGAAATTGTTTGAAATTTCCTATTTGATGTTCGTAATAGGTACTACACTCCCTATATTCTGTATTTTTTAATTATCTTAGCTACATTATTCACGGGATTTTTTTTTCAAGATTCGTATTGTGATGGCTAATGACAAAAATTGCCTATGCAGGTCCATGTCTTCGTATATACCCCAATATAACGGCTTTATTCGGTATTTTTAAGATTTTAACAGAATTATTAATAGATTTTATTTCTTTTTTTTGTAATTTCCAAGTTTGTTCCAAATGGTGGAGGTTATTCAAGGTTCTGTCCGGCCGAACTTAAACCTTTTTTAATTGTTAATATTTTAAAATCCCATTGGAATATTTTTATTCCCCTCGGGAATGATTGTAAAAATATAAACATTCCATCGAAATTTGCTAATTATAATTATCAATTATTAGTGATTTGTTTTTAAGAAAACAAATATTTTCGTATCAATGCTTAACTTTACAAAATAGCTAATTAATATAAATTAATTTAAATAATTTGATTACGCTTATAAGCACGCTGGTATTTCCTAACAAAACAGAATAAAGCATTCAATAGCGTGCGTCAAACCGAATGCCCTTATTTGGAAAATTTTTCAAATCGAAAATATACGCAACCACCTACCAGACTAATACTTACCGGCTCCTCTCGTGAGCATTGCCACCGGTATTGCTGCTGATGCTGCTGCATAATGTCCGCCTCCACCTGCTGTTCTTGACGAACTGACAACCAATTTGTACACGTTGGAGTAATTGACGCAACATTATACCGTAGACGCGCGTAAAATCTGCAAAAAAGGAAAAGATCTTCAGCGCTCATGTACATACACACACATAATTCATAACTACGTAAGCTGTGGCGTAATATTGCTCATGTCTCTCGTCTGTAGTCATGAATGAATTTTTGAGAATGTTCAAGTTATTGCATTACTAATCGCCCGGAGGGAAGAGAAAATAAAAACTGGTATTCTAAAGAGATAATCCGCTGGATGCGTTTAAAAACAAACCAATTGATGATAACTTGACAATGTGAACATGTCAGTGCTTGAATCACAATAAATAACACGAAGCGCATTTCAGGATACATAAATAAAAAAGAAAGTTTTAAATAAAAACATTGTTTTATAAATAACAAATTTCAATTTAAGGTATACATTGGTGTACGGTTTTCGTCATTTAAAGAAAGTTTAATTAACTCGGATAAACCAAAATATTCTGCGTGAAATTTAATATTAGGTTCCCATCTCTCCAAACGTTACCGATTTCCGTCGGTTTATTTGAAAGGCTAACTTATTTTATACCTCGACTAGTAAGGCCCGCAACTTCATTTGCGTTGAATCAAATCTAATGAAAGACGTCGTTAATTTCGGTCCGTTTTCACTTTTTATTGAGCATTTTTGTGAGATTGCTTTCTACATGTTAATATTTTAAAATGTCAAATTGCAACGACTTCCGTTTTAAAAAAAGGATTTGTTGTAAAAATATTTCGAATCGGGATGTGCCATTAGGTGTAGAAAATTTCAGTCGGTGTTTCAACAAATATAGATCCTCAGCATTTCACATCTTTTTTTTGGGGAAGGTACCAAGATGTTAGACCTACATATCCCAACTTAACATTAGATCTAATGTGGGTCCAAATTTCGCTATTTGCGAAGTTTGAAGAGAACTGAGAAATAATTTTAAATTTAATGAAATCAGCATCTGATTTCACATTTTACTAGAGTAATTATGGTTGAAATCTAAATATGACGATGTGACAAGTTTTAACTAAGTTGGTACTCCACTCGCCAATATGAGTTTTTATTACTATTTTAATATTATTTGATATGCTCAAAATGTGCCCCATCGAAATAACGGGTTTTGACCCTAGGAGTCGATCTAGGTGTGTCCGTCAGTCTGTCTGTCTGGCTGGTGCTCACAATAACTCTTGAAGGGAGTATCCGATTTGGTTCAATTTTGGTACATCGTAATATTATTATCCATCTTAGTTCGGAGATGACCAATGTCAACTTTTTCATAGAAAATAATTAAATTTAATTGGGCACTGGTTTTACATTTTACGAAAGTTATATACAGGGTGAGATGAAAGAACTGCAACCAACTTCAGACTGCTGTCATTTATAAGCCATTCGACCGATATATATTTGGCTGGAAGACCAAAAGTGGCTATCGTTCGAGCACTCCAGCATTTAAGTGTGAATAAATCTTTTGTATCTCGTACCATCGCTCCTTACCGTGATACTGGTAGCGTATCCCGACGTCAAGGAAGTGGACGGAAGAAAACAGCAACATCAGAAGAAATGGTTCGAAAAGAAAAGAAGCGACTTGATCGAAACCAGCGTCGCAGTGCCTCGCGAAAAATGACTCCTGAGCTGATATTCCATTCGGCAAATATTGAAAAATGCGATTGGGGTAAAGCAATTGAAATTCCCAAAAGTGCAAGAAATTTTACCGCTACAGAAAGAAAATTGACTAAAAAAAAGAGCTAAAGAGATTCTTCGCTTGGCCAAAAGTAGTGAACTTCCGAATTTGGTTTTCTCCGATGAGAAAACATTCGTTGTCCAGCAGTTTGAAAACAAACAAAATGATCGTGTTTACTTGCCAAAGAGGTCAGCTGAAAATGTGCACCTTCGGTTGGCCACCAAAACTCAAGCGCCGGCAATGGTGATGATGTGGGCCGCCATAACAGCCGATGGTCGCTCTCCGCTCGTATTAGTCGACCGTGGCTGATGATCAGAATAAAGCCTTGGACATGCAAAGATTTTGGCCGCAGATGCAAGGATTTTGGCCAACAGTACTCAGCACCATCGCACTCAGAACGCGCCACCAAAGAAGGGTTACAAAATGAGGTTCCTCGTATCATTTCCAGCGAACAATGGCCACCAAAATGTCTGGATACCAATCCGTTGAATTATTGTGTCTGGAGTATTTTGGAAAGCAAGGTTGGCACTAATAAATACCAAAGTGTCGATCACCTCAAGCAAGCGCTTCGCCGGGAATGGGCCAAAATACCGCAGGGCAACATTCGAGCAGCGTGTGACGGTTTCATGGCCGTTTGAAGGCCATAATTTGTGCCAAAGGTGACCAATTCGAACAAATCTAAACTCAATCTAAAATTTGATGCTATTTCTGACATTTCTTGTTTTCATTCAATAAAATTTTTGAAAAAAATTTAAATATTATCGTGTTTGAATTTGTTGAAGTTTTTTTTCTCACCCTGTACTGTGTCTATTTGAAGGAATTCCGTTAGAAATTTGACTTTAGTCGTTAAAATTCCGAATAGTGGGAGGTACCGATATTACAATGCTTAGTTTGATTTTTAAGTGGACCAGAGGTAGTTTTTTTTGATATTGCTCGAAGCGTACGTGTTTTACAAGGCTCGTCAACGTGTTTATCTTTTTTTTTGGTTTGCAGCTGTGGGTACTCGCCTAGACTATAATCTACTCAATTTCGAGCGTATTTTACTTTCTGATACATCCTTATACTCTGACAAAATGCTAAAAAATCACGATTTATAATCCCTTTCGAAAAAAACCCAACAATTCTACATTAACAGCGTTTCAATCAAATTCCTGGTAGTCCAAGGCAAAACTTCTAATATCCTTTTAGACCGCATTCCATTACTCTAACCTAATCTCTCGCCTAATTCCAAGATTCTAGCTTTAGTGGTTTGGTCTAGATTTTCTAGGTCAGTCATTCATTCACCCATCAGTATGCTGCCTTATGATTTATTTAGACAACTTTATTTAAGATCACATGAAGTATTCTAAAGAGAATTTATTAGAATATTTGTATGTAAATGCCGAATTTCAAGCGCCATGCTATCAGAACGTTGCCCATTTTAAGAATTTATGTAACAATTTTAAGAAATTTGTTTAGTTTTTTATGATATGTAAAAACTGAAAACATTCCAACCAATCGCAAAAAAAATCTTCTGATGACCTGCTATGAATTTTGAGGTGAAGGGCATTTTGAAAAAGTATAACACAAAACCAAAAAAAAGAAAAACATTTTCGACACAATAGGTACTCAAAAGTGAATTACAACCAAAACATTTGCACTTTATAATCAATTTTATTAAAATACCTACTTAGCCATTTCTCATTCAATTGATAAGACCCTGAAGTTCTCGGAATGTGGAACATTTGGCGTCGCCACTGTGTTAGTAAGGCATGAACATGAAAATGTTTGCTCAAGACTTTTGGTCGATATGTACTTCCCCTTTTCCGGAATATAAACAATTCGATCGTAAAATAATGAATGAACCTACATACCAACAACAAAGGTGTGTTACCTTTGGCTATTGTTGTTGTTTTTTGTTCTGTTTTGCTGATAAACAAAGTTTATTTTGCTAATTGAGTGAAAAAGCATTTCCCAGAAGTTGAATATTTTTATTGGGCTAGACTATATTTAGAACAACTACAACAATGTGAAGCCGAATAATTGTGGTACCACACTCATACATATTTGGGGCATTTCTCTTTACCATTTTTAGTAATGGAAGAAGCAGAAGAAGAAGAAAAAAAAAATACTGATTTCAATCTCATCTGTTTGTTTACTTTTGCAAATATTTGGAATATTTTCAAGTGGCGAATGGTTACGTAGCAGACGGCAATGACAGTGCGTTAAGGTTGACGGTTAATTGTTTAAACGTGTGTAACAATGAAAAGGTAAACACATTTTATGGTGGACCATATCGACTTTTTACTAGATACTGCGTAACATCAAATGGACATAGGCAGGGGTTATAGTTAAGAAATCAGTAGTACAGTAAGTTCAAATTATTATAGCCAATTTCTTTGCAAAACGTGATCGTAACCATTAAAAAATTTTCCATGGATGAAATGGTACTATTTGGTGTTATGTGGACGGATAAAGCTAGAATCTTAACTTTCGGTATGAGAATCAAGTTTGGAAAGTAAGTTTTATATATGAAGGTGGTTTTGGAAATGTGTACTAAAAAATACTAAATAAATGTTATTGGGTCCCTTTTGTTGGGAGGTTTGTGATAAGGTTTTACAATTTTGCATTGTGTGAACAGACAGTTCTTAAAACCTGAAATTTGGTGTTGGGGTACTGTTCATATATAGACTGGACATATGGAGGCAGTTTCAGAAATGTGTACTATAATTGTTTGGAATGTACTGAACGACACATTATTTATTCTTTGGTGGCGCGTGCTAAGTGCGATGGTGCTGAGTCCTGTTGGAGTGTCCAAGGTCTGCGGCCAAAATCTTTGCGTACCCAAGTCCTTAATACACCCTCCAGAATATTTTCGCTATAATATTCGGCATTTATTATGATGCCACGGTCGATTAATATGAGCGGAGAGCGACCCTCGGCTGTTATGGCCGCACACAATCACCATGGCCGGCGTTTGAATTCTGGTCTCCAACCGAAGGTGCACATTTTCAGTTGACCTATGACCTCTTTGGCAAGTAAACACGATCATTTTGTTTGCTTACAAACCGCTGGACAACAACTGTTTTCTCATCGGAGAAAACCAAATTCGGCAGTTCACCACTTTCGGCCAAGCGAAGAAATTCTTTAGCTCTTTTGAGTCTATTTTCATTCTGTTGCGGTGTAAGTTCTTGCACTTTTTGAAATTTCAATGGCTATACCATTTATCTTTA